AGACAGGAGAAAAATAGGGACAGCGCTTCAATTCAACAGGCTGTCAGTTACATAATCTGGATCTTACACTGTAACTGAGTGAATGAATCATGGTGATTCAAGATTGACAGTGCAATTCTAAACCCTTCTAAATCCACTGTAGTCAAGGATTGCACTGTAAAATGTCTCAGTGGGAAAGAAGAAACTAACAGTAGAATTTTACTCAGATGTACTCCATGTAATTTCAATGGGCTTAGATTGAAGTAACTCTGCAAAGGCGTGCATTGTAAAATATTTTTTAAAAAACACCTTGTAGTGCTCTGCCAACCCAGCCTTCCAGGCTGTGAGACCAATTTAACCCATTTGCTGTATCGGTAGTCCCTATCTCTCTTACTGGCTTGGATCCTGTGAACAGGTTCCATATGTGCTAGAAAGCCTCTGCTGTGGAACACTTCCTGTTCCATTTGCACTTTTGGCTGAGCAAGGGAAGGGCTCACTGAAAATCATTCATCTTGCACAAATGGAAGAGGAAGTATGCTCCACAACAGAGGCAATGTAGTGTGTATAGTATGGAACTCATTCATAGCATCCAAGCCGTGCTTTGTAGACACAGAATTTAAATTCATACATAACTTTTGGAATCTTAATATTCCAAAAACTGCATGGTAAATTCACCTATGGTATTTTTGTTCTTCTGTTCCAAAAAGATATTACATTTTTATCTGTAGACAAAATATCTTCCAAATATTTGTTTGCAGTTCTAAATCAGTGGGTTGAATACAAAAGGACTGTTCCCCAAAAGCACTTCTTTTTGTAGAATGTGGGATCTGTGGTTTTCATGGATTTTCCAATCAAATGGCAGCCCCAAACTGTTACTAAGGGTTCTCTGTCCCTCAGGAGCCGTTTTAAGGGTGGTTGAGGTAGCTGCAGAAGATGAGAGAAGACAAGAAGAATCTGTTCTACCAGAACTCCATTCATAGTTCTTTAGACCCAATCAGGGAGTTATATCTATTTTATAGAATATATAACATTTAACATGTCAGAAGTTAAGCAGGGTCGGTCCTGGCTAGTATTTGGAGACCTCCAAGGAATACCAGGGTTGCAACACAGGGGCAGGCAATGGCAAAGCTGTCTCTTGCTTTGAAAACCCAGCAGGGCCGCCATAAGCCATCTGTCACTTGACAGCAAAATAAATAAATAAATAAATAAAGTTTAAGGTATGCAAGGGGAGGACCTACAAAGACCTGCAGGGGCATCTCATTTTCCCCTCCCCTGCTATTTCCTCTTTCCCGTCCTTGACAGCCGCCATAGCCTTTTCCCTTTCCCTGACGCCTTCTCCCCTTCCCACCCACCAGCTAACCTACCTTTATCTGCCCTCTGTATTCAGCTTCCGCTCCTTCCCTCCTCCTGGTAGCTCTGTCCCGGAAAACTATGGCCCAGTTGCACGGTGCCAGCTGCTGGGGCAGACCCAGATGTATGGTGGGGGAAATTGCAAGAAACTGTAGGGGCACTTCATTTCCCCAGTATCCCCAAGCCCTGTACTATTACGTCTTTCCCTCTTCCTGGAAAATCCAAACTTTTCCATGTTTTCTTCTTTGCTTCCCAACTACCAACCAACCTAGTTTCGAACTGCACCCCCCTTCAGCTATATTTATTATTTACTTCCTTTATACCCCATCTTTCTCCCCAATGGGGACCTAAAGCAGGTTAAATAATTCTCCTCGCCTCCATTTCATCCTCATAACATGTGAAGTAGGTTAGGCTGAGAAGATATAACTCACCCAGAGTAACCCAATGAGCTTCCATGGCAGATTGGTGATTTGAACCTGGGTCTCCCAGATCCTAGTCTGAAACTCTAACCACTACACCACACTGGCTTTGGTGGGGTAACTGCTGTTGAACAGTAGCAACCACCTAGGACAGGGTGAGTCATTCAAACAGAGCTGCCAACTCCACAATGGCAAATTCCTGGAGATTTGGAGCCTAGGCAGGTCAGGGCTTGGTGAGGGGAGGTACCCCAGCAGGCTATAATGCCATAGATTATACCCTCCAGAGCAGCCATTTTCTCCAGGGGAACTGATCTCTGTAGTCTGAAGATTCCAGGAGATCTCCAGGTCTAGGGCTGCCAAACCACGGCGGGGGATCCGTGCGTCGTCGCAGGATCCCTGCCGTGGGGGGACAGCAATCTGCGTTGCACCAGCGTCGCCAGGATGTGATGCTACGCGTCGCCCTGGCAACGGGACTCCAAACAGCCCCGTTGCCAGAGCGACACGTAGCGTCACATCCTGGCGACGCCGGTGCAACGCGGATCGCTGTCCCCTGCGGCAGCGATCCTGCAACGACGCACGGATCCCCCGCCGCGGTTTGGCAGCCCTATCCAGGTCCCATGTGGGTGTTGGCAAATTTACATTCAGGTCATCAGGTATCAAGTCACCCAGTGGTTGCTTCCAGCTCTGGCCCCAATGAGTCCTCCCTCAAAAGCCACAACAGACCTGGAAAGGGCTCTGCCCCCTTCCTTAGCTTTTTACTAAGTCTTGAATGCTGGCAATACTGTTGTGGTTGCCTAGCAACCCCCACAACGGCCATTGCAAGGGCATTCATTCCATAAATCTACATGCTCTGCTTCTGTTATTTGGGGTAAACCCCCAATGCACTTGGGGGGGGGGGTTTGTTTTTGTTTTAGATTTCAGGGTTTTTTTGCAAACCTGGGGGCTTTTATAAGATTTGTAGAAAGGACAGTCTCATGTGTTTATGGCTCCAGTGCCCAAATTTAAGAATCTATGGATTCGGGCTTGTTGAGGATTAGATATACTGATAACAATGTGTGCCCCCCTGAAAAAGAAAGCATTACCTTTCCCAAGTCCTAAGTATGGAATAGGATATAAACTAACTTACATACATTATCTGGCTTTCCAGAACACCATAACATCTAGAGTAGAATGATCTTTTAAAAATCTGCCAGTTCCTTGTTACAATATTACAGAATGCGGGGGGGGGGAAATAATTCAGTTCAAATCTGATACAAGATGAGCTACAAAGCCAATGCATACATGGCACAATTTAAATATGTACAATGTATATATACTATATGTGTGCAGTGATGTATGTAGTGAGACATACAACTAAAAGTGTGAATACGCCACACTCATGATACAGACAGCAAAAGTAAACTGGCTGGAAGCTGCAATTGACTGCATATGCAAGTGCCTATAGATTACCCAAACTGGGTTTGCCTCTGTGCCTCAGTACAGAAGCTGAACAAATTGCCTAAATTTTCCTTATTACTTCTTCCACAATGCTTACGACAGCATGCCAAACCCCTCAAAATTCAAATCAACTAACTCTCTGGGGGAAAAAAATAGTTGGAAGGCATTGTTCTGCTAACAACAAAAACACAAATAAACTGTAGGAAAGAAAATCTCTTTTTTTAAGGATTTGAATGAGTCTTATAAACAAAGAAAGAGAAACAGAGAGGGGGAAAACGATACAAAAGCACTCACAGTTCTGTTCCTTCAAATATTTACCCTGCTTCTATTTGGAGAATAATTTGTTCCATTTAACCAGAGTCAGACTCTGAAGACTACAGTAATCCAGAGAGATTAATTACAGACTTGGAGTACTTCTAACACAACTTTGAAAGGCAAAGAACCAAAAAGAAATAGAAGAGAAGAATGGTTACTTCTCTCACTGATGATGGTTAGCCCGTCTGAGGTGCTGCAAGGTTAGGTCAGCAACTTTCTCTGCCATCCACTGCTGAAGCAAACACACCTTACATGGGACAAGGGCGAGCAAGACTGAGACAAAATGCCATCCAGCACAAGTGCTAATGTGCGTAAACTCAGGGGTCATTTCGTAGAAAAAGAGCTAGGGGGACTCATTAGCATAACTCATTAGCATATGCCACACACCCTGACATCACCGGAAGTGTGTCCTCCCCACAGGCGGCGGCGACCTCCAGCGGGCACCAGCAGGGAGCTCCAGGCCCCGCCCTCCTGCACCTCACCCGGGGGGATGGCGTCCCCCCGCGTCCCCCCCCCAAATGACCCCTGCGTAAACTAATAACAAAGTGGAGAGGCTAAGAGAAACTGTCACTTGGAATAAGTCACAGATCCTAAACCCATTGAAATGGAGCAGTTAGAAATATGTCAACTATACAATGGAACATACACATGTCAACTATTCAATGGAACATACACACATATGGGCAGAACAGAGGTTGGAGAGGTCACTGGATGCTATTCCCACCTGCACTCTGCCCCCTTTCCACAAATTTTTTTTTTCAATTTCCCTTCGTTTTAGGGAAAAAACCAACAAGAATAATATTGATGTGAAGCTACTGGATTTAGCCAGGGAAGTCTGGAAAATATATTACCGTTCCTAAACACAACCAAGGTAACAATGTCTGAACTTCAATTTGTTTGCAAGGTTGAGAAGATGATCACAAAAGAGAGAAGAAAGAGGTGACTCCGTAATGAGGGTTCTCTTTCTTCACTTCTCTGACATATCCAAAAGAATAATCCCAGTCTAAGAATCTCGGTATTCTTAACCACACAGAAGACACCTTCCCTCTGTCTCTCATGCATATACACATACTCAAAACGGTAGAATGGGAGCTGCTTCCCTGCTACTCAAGAGGGCTAATCAACCATGTAGAACTCATCCAATACACATCTTATTGGGAAGGACAGAAACAATCAGAGGGCAGTCATGTGACTGCTTAAATCCATGTACACTCTGTAACAGCATGAGACCACGCCATGTCAAAGTGGCTCTATCACCATACTTTATACATGTCTTGAATGTGAAGTGTACCATAAAAACCTCACTTAGGAGGTTGAAGTTGTGGTTCACAGAATGGTATTTTAAAGACATTTTGTTCATTTTGATTCTTCTCTCCAGCATCGCTAATGTTTATTATCCAAAGTAACTGAAAAGACCTGCAACTGGTTTAGCTGTTAAAAAAAAAAAGCAACAGCAAAACATGAAACATCAAAAGATGTGCAACTATTTTGGGCACTTACATGGTGATGGCTCGTGTATTCCTTCCTCTGCACTATCCTCAGGCCCCTCTTCACCCATGCCAGAGGTGACTGAATCTTCTGGGGTAGAAGTTGAACCTGGTGTGCTTGGACCACTTACAGAACCAGAGTCTCCATCCTCACTGTTTGATCCATATCGATCTTGCCGGACTACAGCCCTGCCTTCACTGCAGCTTCGGCGCTCTTTCCTGTGCACACGGGAATGAAGCACCATTTGGTGATAAGTGCGGAAGATCTTGCCACACTCAAAACACTCAGTGGACTTGTTCTGTGACACCCTTCTGCTCTGACGTGAGGACGGTCTATACTCTAGGTCATCTGGACCTAGGACAGAGTTATCCCCTGAATGTGAACTGTTGTTTTTCTCTGAACGCCCACTGGTACAGTTTTTCTTTTTCGGATTGCTTGAAGAGCTGGGTGAGTCATGCTCTAGTTTGCGCTTCTCTTGACTGACAAGAATATATTCCCTTTTATCCTTGTCATAAGTGACATCAGCATCTGCCAGGACTTCATCCCATCCCAAATACTTCACATACTCAGAAGGCTCTGCGACTTTTCCTTTGGTAGCCAAGTGCCAAGACTGGTAGCTATTAACTGGATCCAGCTCAGCTACTCTTTTTCCTGACTGCCCCCCTACAACACCATCTATCTCTACAGATGGCTTCAATTTCAGATACTGGAGGAAAAACTGTTTTCCTATAGGTGGGTCAAAATCTCCTCGACCCTCAGCTCTGTGTTCACTACGAGCTCTAGAAGACCTGCAGTGTACTGAATTATGTGCTTTTAGGCTTTCCATATTTGAAAACAAGTTTCCACACTTCGTGCAAATTTCATACAGGGACAAGCCAGTCACAATTGTTTCCTCCTGAATGACGTCATTAATAGTGGCTATTGGCTCTAAATCGTTTTTTGGCTTGTTTTTGCTCCCAGATTTGGGGCCATGTGACTTCATGTGGTTTTTGAGGAACCAGGGTTCTTTAAACTTTCTGCCACATATATGGCACCCATGGTCAAATGACCCTCTATGCTTTTTCATGTGAGCTTTGAGGAACCAAGTTTGACTGAAGGCCTGTCCACAGACTTCGCAAGGAAACTCCCCTCCGCTTGACTCACTCTTGCAGTTCTCAGCACAAGTTTCTCCATTTGGAATCTGAGTGGTAATGTGGTCTCTCTCTATGTGGTTTAACAGTGTTTCCTCTCTTAATGTCATATAATTGCACAGCCTGCATTTGAAAGGTTTGTGGATCTGATGAATGTGCTGTTCCAGTTCCTTCTTCCCTTCAAATTTGTTTTTGCAGAAAGTGCACTGTACAGGACATAATTTAACATCTTCCCCAACGGATGCTTCTGCCACCGTCTCTTTTCTGCTGCTTCGAAGCAAGATCTTGCCACCTTCCGTCGGAGCTGCTCCATTCAAGATCCGGTTGCAGGCAGAGGTGCTCTTGGTAGGGCTGGTGCAGCCATCAAGACCTTCTGAGACTCGCATCTCTCCCAGCTGCACCTCTCCTCCCACCTCCACCTCATGGCCCTGACTGATCGTGCCTGTTCTGTGACTCCGGATGTGTATCTTCAAATTGCCCTTTTGAGAAGCTCGGTGGTCACAATAAGGGCACTTGTATGGTTTCTCCCCTGTGTGTTTCCTCATGTGCTGTGATAGGGAGCTCTGGAAAGGAAAACTCTTGCCACATATGCAGCAGCTGTGCAACACGGACTTGTCTCCATCCATATCACTCTTGTTCATCTTGTGAGGACTAGAGGCTCTTCGTAATTCCATGCTGGCATCTACGCTACAATCCATCTGTACTACAGCAACATCACTAAAAGGGACAATACCTTGTCCAGGAGGAGGAGGAAACTGTGCTGCAGTTTCAGTCATGCATTTCCGCTGAGTGAGGTTAAAATCTCTTCATTGTTGTACTCAGGTTTTCATGGTTGTATTCAGGCTGCTTGAAACAGTATGAGATATCAACATTCATGGGTGGCGTTGAGTCAGATGGCAAAGAGCATCTAGAACAAGAACAAAAGGACACCGAATAATTACTAAATGCAAATCATTTAAAACTCTCAGGATCATATTTTGATCTATATAAAAACGTTAACATCCACTCATAAACTTGAGTTAGTATTGAATGAGGTAATTTTGAATAAAGCTATTAGATGAGTAGAACATGATACACAGACAGATCACTTTAATAGAGGGTAGGTGTGATGGTGATTTAATAATTTTTTGTTTAGAAAAATCTAAATTCTTCAATGTTTTTGTAATTTTCCTTCCTAATCCAAGCAAAATTATTGGTAGGCATACTTTAATGTGAATAAATGCTTCCTTTAAGTGGCTGCAATGTGTTAAGTCTGTTGTTTTCATGAAAAACACATGAATTTTTGTTTGCTCAGAGGTAGAAAGATGTTGCAGATTACACTACTCCATTGCCATTGAAAATAACATCCCAGGCATCTCTGCCGTACACACTCTGAAACAGGTATTTGTTTATTTGTTTTGACTGAGATTATTGTCATCATCAGACACTCTGTTCAACATGCTACTATCTTCTGAAATAAGATGGGTGGCTACCAGAGATGGGATATTTTCTGCTGTAGTTAGCGCCTTCCCTGTACAACCCCCAGCCCTATACATTTAACTGGCGTATACATTTCTAACCTCATGTGAAATCGTTGCTGTTCTCCCAGGAATTTAGGCAATAACAGCTAGTTTTTTCATTGATTTGTCTTGCTGCCATTTCAGACTCATTAGATTTTTGCTGTTTGTATCATTAGGTGTCGTTTTGAGTGTGTGTACAAGGGCCGTCAAGTCATTTCTGACTTACGGCAGCCCTATGAATTAATGACCTCTGATATATCCTATCTTTAACAGCCTTGCTCAGGGTCTTGCAAACGGAGGGCCATGGCTGCCCCTTGACTGAGTCAATCCATCTCATGTTGGGTCTCCCTCTTTTCCTGCAGCCTTCAGCTTTCCCTAGCATGATTGTCTTTTCCAGTGAGTCTCGTCTTCTCATAATGTGAAGAAAGTACCAGTCTCAGATTGGTCATTTTAGCTGTTTTATCTGCTGCCTTTACCGTACCAGTACTTTTATCTATTTATTTATTGGTTGATGCTTATTTTGCTGTTGTTGATTGCCCAGGGCATCTAATGAGCATCACCTAAAGCTCTCTCATACCACAAACACTTAAACAGGTAGCTAGTAAAAACGAAGAAGTGGGCACACCCATTCTCATTCACAATGCAACATTTAAAGAATCTGGGCATTCATTAATTCAGAACAGATTACATTTGTATCCTCCATCTTGGAATAACATCTGCTTGTAGCCAAGATTGTGAGAGGGGTGGGGTTACTCAAGCAATAGAGCAAGTTTAAAAATAAACTTCCAATTCTAACAGGAGAATCCTAAGCTTTGCACATCAACACACAAGAGGAACAGTCAAAATGCTGCCAATCAGATCTCAAAGTGCTGGACAGATTTTATTTTATTTTTTCCTTAGTGAAATGCACTTTTAGGCTGTGATCCTAAGTATGCACTTTTAGACTGTGACCCTAGGTATGCCTACCGGGAAACTGCAGTGAAAGTAATGCAGCTTATGTTGCAGTAGTGGCTTTGGCTGTCCTTGAAGCCACCCAGAGAGTCTATGGCTGCAACAGAATTTGACCCTGGGCTTCTGCTGTTCTATTTCCAGCAATTTAGTACACTCATCCTTTCCCAGCATCAAAAAATGCACATTATCAGGGAATATGAACACTCCTAAACGCATACTTCCTTACTATAGTTAAAAAAAATTCCTACTGAAATTATTTTCTTTACTCCTTTTATGGACAACCTTGTTCACCTTCCTATTGCTTACTTCCAAAGATAACAAAACCAGTCCATAATTCTGGAGCAGCTAAATTAACAGGGGCTGGGAGACTGGGAGGGGCATGCCTTTATATAGTAGCACATCCTTGAATTCACAGGAAATCCTAGCAGTCTATGTCCTTCAAAGTAAACACTGGCATTAGAAAAAGTCAGCATGTTTTTTGCCTTGATTTCCCCCCACCCCAGAGCCATCAGAGCAAAAGTCTGCTAGTTTTGTATCTAGAAAACTGCCATCAGTTACTAATCAACAGATTACTTTTGTAACAGAACTGAAATTAAAGTAGGAATTGCCAAAGAGATGTGACAAGGGGAAACGGATAATGCGAAGTCAAAACAGAACAAAAAAGAATAGGGCCTGTACATTAAAGGGTGGGGGGGTTGTTGCAAATTTTTAAGACTGTAGCCTGCTTTCTTTATTTCTTTTGCTTTTATTTTATTTTAAATCTCTGTTGTTCTTCAGATAGCTACATTGGAACATAACCCCTTTGTGTGCTCAGACTTGCAACTGTTAACACTGCAGCTTAACTATGAGATATGTACTGTATTCTGCATTCTGAAATTACACCAGTGAATCTACAACCCTTACAGAAAAGACAAAAACACCCACAATTATTATTTTTAAATGCAACACTCCAGTAAAGGGATCATCGACAAAGCAGACAGGTCTGTTAAAAGGAAAAGCAAAGGAAAAGGGGGAGATGTCCATAAGACAGATCATACAGTACGTTCTAGAGGAGTTCTGTGCATTAGTTATTCTTGCACACTGCTTTAGGGTGTGCTGAGAAACACAGGCCTGTCACCCACTCAGTGCATATTTTGTATTTCAGTATACTGGCCATGTTTGTCCTCTCAGATACAAAGAAATGTATTTTATTGGTTACACTGCAGTATTATAAAGAATGAATTAAAATACATCATTAACATCCTGGTCCAGCTTATCTTATGACCAAAACAAAGAGGCTATTCTTTGCACAAATGGGAGGAGGTGGGAAACCCCTACCAACAACAACGAAGCTCTCCTTGCCCTAAAAACCGTTTTGTTACAAGATCAACAATTATAAGCTTATATTCTGCAGATTTGGATCCCAAATAGCTGCATGAACTGATGCATTCACTAATGGGAGAGTAAGTACCATTGATGGCAAGGCCTTGAGGCTTCTGCTGTTCTCAGACCAATCAATAATCCATTATGTCCAAACTACATTTCCAGTCTAATATGAAGAATAAAAGGACAGCCAGTATTAGCAGTTCTTCCAGAGAGATGGAAAGGGGGGGGGGAGAGAATCAATGATACAGAACACACCAAATGCTACCATCATAAGACTGAAATGACTGGTCATACATGGCACTGACAAAACTATTTACAATACCCTTTTATATTAACACCCCTGTACAATACCCCTTTGTCTCCAGAACCGTATCTTTGTATGTTATTATGTCTTTGCATACAGCGCACGTGAGCAGGCTCACACACAATTCCTCTGGACAACATGCTGTTTTTCAACTTTGTATCTTGCTATAATTTCAGGACAAAGAACAGACACACATCAAATGTTCAAGACGAGATAACTTAATTTTCATTGTTTCGATCTTTGCTTCTGTGAGGAAATTAATAAAAATTTCAATATCATATCGGACTGCCATTAAATTAAGAATATAATCTAACCACTGTAATACAATTTCATTTCAAACAGTTTATGCTATAGGAAGCAAACAGTAAACAGTAGAAGAGTCCATAACCATCCTTGCCATATACTTATCCAACCGTATCATTTATTCCCTAATTTATTGTCTATTAATGTACCATTACTGAGTTTTCCACACTAACTCTCATAAGGCAAGTCCTGGAACATTGTCTGGACCACCTGCCTAAGAGGTTGCCTGGGCTCAGGAAAAGGCCTGGCTCATGCTTTCTTCAGCTGTGCTTGTGGCTTCCTGCCTCTCAGGTGCTCTGACAGCCCATGAGGAGGGAGGGGGTAAAGGAATGGTGGTGCCTCATCACTTCTGACCCACCCATGTTTACTTCCAGTCGGGCTGGGAGGATCATGAGCCTAATGCCCAGCTCCCATGGGGCTCTCTGCCTCTCACGCTGGTTTACAAATTATCACAATTTATAGAAAATCCTAAAATTTAATACATTTTGAAAGGTGGCCAAGATGTACCTGCAGCCATCCACGTTTGCAAAACTAAACTGGTATCCCAAGTACTTTCTGGGATTCCCATTTGGATTAGTGCTTTTAAACGATGTGTTGAGCAAATGCAGGTGATGCTTTCAGGTCATATTTTGAGGACCCAAATTGCATCGGCTATGCGGCCATGTGTTTGGAGACAGGGCAGAGCCCTTTGGAGACTAGAGCTTGGCTCTTAACCCTGAAATTTTGGCCGCGTCCCCATAATAGAGCAGAATCCCCCAGCTATGTACTGAACATGCTGTCTGATTCCTTCTCTCTCTCTCTCTCTTTTACAAACAATGTACATATACATAATGAAATAAAATATACAAACAATGCAATAAAAACTGGATTCTTTCTCAACTAACTAGTAACGTTTAATTTTGTAGAAAATACAGTCTATTGGTATTCCTCTTGATTCTTCATGTTAGAATAACCTCCAAACCTTAGATTATTGAGATAGAGACTTCTGGATATTGGAAAACAAACCCTCTGCTCTTTAGCAAACAGGACATGGTCCCCACGGGTGTTTGGTAGCACTCCTGATCACGGGATTCTAAGAATCCTGTTCTTCACACTTAAATCTCAATTACAGCGAGCTTTTATGATCACAAGATTTAATGGTCTCCCTACAGTGGTTCTTTTTGGAAGATATGGAAATGTTCCATATCATGAAGGATTTTGTCCTTGTAGGGTCAGAAAGCCTGAATCTGTATCCCGTATTTTGCTTTACACTGTGATTTCTATGTCAAACTATGGGATTCTGTAATTAGCCCTCTTCTGCATAAATACCATGGATATCTCGATAAGAGGCTTGTTTTTCATCTTCTGTCAGATTAGAGCACTTATATTACTTTTTTAGTAGCAAGATATCTTCTAATTAGGGGCTGAGGTGACTCAGAGGTTAAGACACTGAGCTGCAGACTGGAAGGTCTGTAGTTTGGCAGTTCAAGACCCGAGTGTGCCACA